TCTGCGGACTTATAACGCTAGAAACCGGGTTTCTATACCCGTGGTGGGCAGAGCACAGATAGCCCATTTTGTAGCTTTGTGCAAACTTTAATTTTGTCACATTCCTCTTCGTTTTCGGCTATGACAAAAATGTCAGCATTTCCTGTAAAGATTCATAACGTAAATATAGGCCTAATTTAGGCTTAACTTAATCATGTTAAAATTTGATATTTAGTTCAATTGTCTGTAATAATAATTGGGTTGAAAGTGCACGTTCTTTAGTTCATAAAGGAATAGATTTTGTTACTTGTCTACGTGGAAGCTTTCAAAATTTATGTTTATACATGAAGGAAAGTTTTACATCCCGTCCTGTACAGTGATGAGTTTCCAGCAAACTTAATCTTATAATTAAAAAAACAAACAAAAAACTTTTTTAGAATTCAAATTGACATTTTTCATTACACCATTTGAAAAAACGACAACCAGACTGTCTTTATTGATGCTGTGATATTTTTACTAAACATCTCATTACTTACCAATTGTTGTTTGTCATATTTGACACCAAGATTATCACTAAATATATCGCACTATATTCCAGTCTTTCACATTCTATACACTTAAGTAGATAATAATTTCTGATTTGACTATAAGACAGAATATAACCAGTTATCAAGGAATACAGAGAATATTTCCTTTCTTGAAAGTTTCAACTAAAACATTCAGGAACGGAAGAAGTTGGAATATGAACTTCATAATGGAAGGGGAACGTGAATTCATATAGGTTAACGTGTTGGATATAACGCTGTACATACTTTGCATTTTCAGCTGGGAGGATGTTATGACTGACACAGTTAATCCCACTATTCGGTTAGAGATAGCCGTGTATGCGGTTAATGCTGCTAAGCCAGCTATGGTAAGTTTTTTAAATAAATAATGACTATACTCTGAGGACTATTTAGCCCATGTGCCTTATATAATGTAGTTCAAGGCTGAAAACAAAATACTAAGCTTCATATTTAAAAGTGGAGCATAGATTGGTTGAGAAAATGTTCAATGACTATCACGTGACTTATATACCCAACAATACTTTACTGGACGTCGTCTTAAGTTCTTTTGAGTACAATAACATTAAGTATGATAAGAATATTATAAATATTTAAAGGTAAGTATTGTGATGAAATGTATCTATATATATAGATATATGTGTGTGTGTGTGTATGTTTGAGGTGTATCTCACATCAGCAGATCTCTCAAAATATTTTATATATAATGTGTGTATGTTTGAGGTGTATCTCACATCAGCAGATCTCTCAAAATATTTTATATATAATGTGTGTATGTTTGAGGTGTATCTCACCAAAACATTAGCAGATCTCTCAAAATATTTTATATATAATGTTTTTTGTGTGTTCGAGGTGTATCTCACAAAAACATTAGCAGATCTCTCAAAATATTTTATATATAATGTTTTTTGTGTGTTCGAGGTGTATCTCACAAAAACATTAGCAGATCTCTCAAAATATTTTATATATAATGTTTGTGTGTTCGAGGTGTATCTCACAAAAACATTAGCAGATCTCTCAAAATATAATATATATAATGTGT